AAGCCATGATCCACGTCCTCCCTTTCCCATCCCATCTGAGCTTTATGGAAACACCACTCTGGAGTGGCATACCCAACAACACAGGGTATTTACCATTACAGAGGCTGAGTTCTAGGGATGCAGCTGAGAAGGGGGTCTCCTTTGTTCTGCCCAACCTACACCAGTAAAACACAAGCTCTAATTTGAACATGCACAATAAGATACACAGGGTTCCCAGTTGCCCTCACCTTGGCTTATTCGTAAAACAGAGGCCTCACACCAGGAAAGGCAAGCCTACTCCACCAAGTACCCAACTCCTAGAGTAGAAGTGTCCCTGACAAAGAAACCTGCCACAACCCCACCCCCCAGCTCCAAAATTCTGGCTCATAGATTTTTCCAGAAAAAGAGAGAGAGACCATAAAATAGTGTTCAAAGCTTGTCTCAAACGAACCGATTTCATTTACAAGAAAATGTGGAGAAGTTAAGCTCAAGGGTACCCTCAAAAAAAAAATTGAAGTTGTGATACAATTAATTAAAAGGGGCCTGATAGATTCGTTTGTGATATAAACCACAGGCTGCCGAGTGTACCAGAGATTACCTGAGAAGGAGACAGCTAAGAGCCCTCCCACAGGATAAATGCAAAGTTGTAAAAATGTTGAACAGCAAATAGAAAGGGAAGAAAATCTCAGAAGCAATAAGAGAAAAATGATCCATCATTCCCAAGAGAACACAATAAGATAAACAGCTAACTTCTCTCCAGAAACAATGACACCCAGAAGGCAATGGGACAACACTGACAGATTCAAAATGTTTTTAAAAAGCTGCCATCCAAGAGTCCTAGATCCAGAAAAACTACCCGTCAAAACAAAGAAGTAAAGACATTCCCATACTCTGATACCAAAGCCAGAGAAAAGCACTAGAACAAAATTACAGATTATCTTTTATGAATATAGATGGAAAGTCATGAACAAAATTCTAACAAACTAAATCCAGCAGCACACAAAAATAACTGTACACCATGATCAAGTGAGATTTGTCCCAGAAATGTAAGTTTGATTTAACATCAGAAAACCAATTAATGTAATACACTGCATCAATAGAATTTTTAAAAATCATAGGAGCATCTCATTAACAACAGCAACAAAGTCATTTGACAAAATTCAACACCCTTTCAAGCTAAAAACACCCAAGTTAGGAATTTAGGAATGTAAGGGAACTGTCTCAACTTGATAAAGGGCATCTGTGAAAAATGCACAGCTGGGGCTGGAGTATAGCTCAGTTGGTAGAGTGCTTGCCTTGCATGCACAAGGCCCTGAGTTCAATCCCCAGCACCACCAAAAAAAAAAAAAGAACTAACCCTCACAGCTAACACGGTAAATACTGGATGCTTTTCTCCTAAAATCCAGTAACAAAAGGAGAATATGCACTCTCAACACTTTAACACTGCGCTAGAGACTATAGCTAGCAAAATTAGGCAAGAAAAGGGAAAGTAAGAAGTCAAATACCTCCAGTCATAGATAACATGATCATGCACATAGAAAATGCTAAGAAATCCACTAAAGCCTATTAGAGCTAACTAATTAGTTCAGCATAGTTGAAGGATAAGGATCGGTAGGGAAAATTTTGTCTTTCTTAACATTTGCAAAGAGCAATCCAATTCAAAAGCAAAATTAAAAACAGTTCTATTTACAATACATCAAAAAGAATAAGACAGGAATAAATTGAACAAAGGGGATGTAGAACTTGTACTCTTAAAAGCATAAAATATTGCAGGAAAAATTTAGAGAAGACCAAAATAAATTCAAAGACACCCTATATCCATGGATCATCAGAGTTAATGTTGTTAAGATGAAATCCTTCCTAAACAGACTCGGGGCAAAGCCTGTCAAAAGTCCCAATGGCATTTTTTTTTTTTTTTGCAGGAATGGAAAAGCTAATCCTGAAAATGTAACTACAAGAAACACCACACAGTTAAAACTATCCTGAAAAAGAAGGACAGATTTGGAAGAATCACACTTCCCAATTCCAAAGCCTACTACTCAGTTATAGTAATTAAAACAGTGTGATATTGGCATAAGGATGGACATTTAGATCAATGGAATAGAATTGAGAGTCCATAAATAAATCCAGGGATCTATGGGTGAGATTTTTGGCCAGAATACCAAGACCATTCAATGGGGGAAATAACAGTTTTATTAACAAATGATGCTTGGACAACGAGGCAGCCACATGAGAAAGAATGACGTTTGACCCTTACCTCACACCATCAACTCCAAGTGAATCAAAGGTCCAAATGTAAGAGCCAGAACTATAGAACTCTTAGAAGAAAACACAGGGCAAGTCTTCATGACCTTGTATTTGGCAGTGAAATCTTACATGTGACACCAAAAACACATGAAACAAAAGGAAAAAAAATTGGACTTCATCACAACGAAAAACTTTCGTGCATCAAAAGACACTATCAAGAAAATGAAAAATAAAACCCAAAGAATGAGAGAAAATGTTTGCCAGCCACAGGTTTAATATGCATTTTTATATGTAAGGAAATCTTACCAACTCAATAGTAAAAGGTCAAATCATCCAAGCTGAAAATATTGAAAGGATCTGAAGAGACTTTTCTCCAAATAAGATATACAAATGCCAGGGGCTGGGGTTGTGGATCATCAATGGGGCACTTTCCTTGCACGTGTGAGGAACTGGGTTCAATCCTCAGCACCACATAAACATAAATAAATAAAATAAAGGTATTGTGTCCATCTACAACCATCTTTTTTTGAAAAGATATACAAATGCCAAAAAAAAATAAAAATAAAAATAAAATACACATCATTCACTATCGTGGCAATATGAATCAAAGCCCACAATGCAATATCAATGCACACCCTCTAGGATGGCTAAAATTGAAGAGGAGAGAATAATAAGTGTTGACAAGGATGTGAAGGAGTTGGACCCACATACACATTACTGGCAGGAATGTAAGATAGTGCACCCATGTGTAAAATGGTCTGGAAGTTGCTTAAAAGTTTAAATATAAAATCACCCTATGACCCAGCAATTCTACTCCTATGGATAATATACATATAAAAGAAATGAAAATGTATGTTCACATAAAAACATGCACACAGATGTTCACAACAGCATTAGTCATAATAGCCAAAAGGTAGAAACAAACCAAATACCCATCCACTGATGTATGAATAAACAGACTGCATATATCTATCCAGTGCAATATTATTCCACCAATGAAGGAATGAAGAACTCAGGCCACAATATGGATGATGTGCTCAATGAAAAAAAAACCAGCCCCAAAAGGCGAACACTCTCTAAAGCATTCGTAGGAAATAGCCAAGATAGGCAAATTCACAGAGAGAGAAAGCAAATCTGTAATTGCCAGGAGGAGACAAAGTAGCTATTTGGAGATGAGAACTAAAAGGTACTGAGTTTCTTTCTGAGACAGTGAAAATGTTCTGAAATCGATCATGGCAACGGCGGCACGATGCTACGGCCATTCGAACAAGCACTTTAAATGAGTGAATTGTATAGTATGTGAACTGTATCTCAATAAAGCTGCTACCAAAAAAAGTCAAATAGCTAACCCACCCCCCAAAAAAATGGAAACATAAGCAGGAGTGATAGAAGCATGTTGTTTAGAAACATGAATATAAATACAAAATCATCAGCTAAAAGACATCGCAGTGGTTTCCTCTCTGGGATGGCGGAACCAGGAGTGAGGCAGGGAGCTGAGTTTTATGATAAAGCTTGTAGAGCTGTCTCATTCTTTAAACAACATGCACGTACAACTTTGATGGAAATTAAGACTTTGAATGTGTGAGTGCAACCTCTGGTCTTGGGGCCTACGCAGTCCCATTGCAGAGCATGGAGGAGGAAGGGGGCTGCAGGGAGTGGGGCTGGCCAGGGGCATCAGATTTGCTGTGCAGAGCTGAAGGCTTGTGCATGCAGCTGAGGTCCAGCCCCAAAGAGAGGAGACGAGGGGGGTCTGTGAGGGTGCTCCAAGCCTACAGCCCTGCCTGATCCTGCCCACTGCCTTGCAGACCTGGGCTCCTGTCTCAGGGAGGATTCTCTGGAGAGTATGTGACAGTCCAAAGGAACCACCAACCCTCAGTGCTGACGCCCACCCAGAACTCACAGATTGAACACCTACTGAGTACTGGGAACTTCCACAGATGTTCTCTTGTATACCTCTCAAGGACTCTGGGAAGCGGGTGGGTTTATTCCATGATACAGATGAGGAAACTGAGACTCAGAGAGGCCTAGCCATTGGACTGAGGCCACATGGCTAAAAAGAGCCAGACTGAGGTCGCAAGCTTGACTGCCTCCCAGCCCAGGGGCCTGTTCACTATGAGCTTCCCCATGCACAGGAGGAGTCAGGGAGGGGCTTGGAGAAAGGGAAGCCCCTTCCTCTCTGGGCCACAGAAGCCACATCTGAGCCCAGGAAGTGGGTCGCAGTGAGAAGCCAAGAGTGATCAAGGACCCAACCCCCTAGAGCGCCCAGCAGCCCAGCCACTAGCTGCCTCGTCCATCACTTCTTGCCTGTCTTTGGGACCACCTGGATATGGACTACCTGTCACCTGCGCCTGGGCTTCAGTTCACCCTTGGGCCTCTGAGGCCAGCTATGGCTGCCCCACAGCCAACTCCCGGGGCTCTTTCTGATCTGGAGGAGACCTTGCCATTATCTGGTTCACTATGGCAGATGGCCAGTGAGTCAGCAGGAGCAAAGCAGACCTATGACCCTCGCCCTGCCTGTTAGTGCCCCTGGCCTCCAGCCACCCCCAGCAACACCCCACCCAGACTCCTTCTGCCTGCCACCTGTGCCCCTTACTACTCTCTCCTCTAACACCCAAGCTCAGCACCACTAAAGAGTGACAGGGGCCTCCACCCACCCCAACCTCCTCCCCTACAGCCACCATCATGACCCACAGCTGCTGCTCAATCATTACCTCGATGACAGCTGAGAAAGGTCACAATGCATCCACAAACTCTGTGAGCAATGAGGAGGCAGCTTTGGATTCAGACTTGCTGTTTAATTTAGTAACTACAAGGCAAAATCATTCAAAAAAGCATTTTTGTTTTAATATGAGGAATTGAACCCGAGGGGAGGGGGGGGTGCTTAACCACTGAGCAACACCCCCAGCCCTTTTTTAAAAAAATGTATTTTATTTTAAAGACAGGGCCTCACTGAGTTGCCGAGGCTGGCTTTGAACTCACGATCCTCCTGCCTCTGCCTTCAGAGAAGCTGGGATTATAGGCATGAGCCATGGCACGGGCTCAAAGTCACTCAAATTTTGGAACCTGTTTCTTCCTTATGAAGCGGGGACTTGATGCCTGGGAGGTGATGCCTGGAGAGTCTTTCATACACTGCCCAGAGCACAGCAGGCAGCTGAAGACGTCGGTGAGGACAGGTAGACACCACCGGGAGGAAGGCAGGGGTGGGAGCCTGCAGGCGGCTTCCTGTGCTCCGGTGACATTCAGGCGCGGCCTGCCCTCCAGCTGGATCTCCCGGAGGCTGGCAGCGTGACTTGCACTTCCGAGGGGTGGCCCAGCACAGGCTGCCAGCCGCTCCGCAGAGCCCGCCAGCAGAGGCGGGGAGCTCCAGACAGCCGCAGCCTCGACCTGGTGACATCAGACCTACAAGTTCAGGGCCCCTTCCCAGGGCCCCAGGAGGTGACCAGAACCAGCTCTGGCCATTTCACAGAGAGGTAAACCAAGGCCTCGGCGAGAGCGCCAGAGACCAGGACGCTGACTCCCCGCGCTGCCCTGGACACTGCAGATGGGCTCAGCCTCCCGTGGCCACTCGGGTCCCCTTCTGTCCACCCCTGAGCCCAGCGTAGTGACACGCGCCAACACGCTCTCTACATGCCTGCCTTATTTTTAGACGCTTTGAGACTTTGGGGAAGACAAAATCCACTTTCCTGTTCAAAATGCTGTCACCACTTCACAAACGCCATCGCTTCTCTGCCCTGGGGAGGCAGCTGGGCCTTCTGCTTGCACAACCTGCGCCAGCCCGCAGGGCCCACCTCACTCATCCCCCACCGGTCGGTCCTTCTCGCCAGGCCTCCACCTGCTGGACGGCCCTTGGTGCCCGACTGGGTGCTGTTCTCCTCCCTCTCACTGGGCATCTGCCCCTCCCTCTTGCCTCCTGCTACAGTTTGGAAATGGCCTGCCCCCTAGGAATCTCTGGGGTGGGAGTTAGTCCCCAGGCTGGCAATGATGGAACGTTTAGGAGGTGGGGCCTGGGGGGAGGTCTTTAGGTCATTGGGGACCTGCCCTCAGAAGGGCCAAAGCTGGTTCTCATTGAAGTTGTTGTAAAAGCCTGTGCCTGGCCCCACCCAGCCTCTCTCTGACTTCCTGTCTGAAATATTGAATCCTGTTCCCCCATGCACCCCATCACCATCCACCACTGATGTGATGCATCCCAGAAGGCCCTCACCAGAGGCGAGCAGAGTCTAGCCTCACGTCCCTAAGCCCCCAGAACATTGAGCTCCCATAAACCTCTTGTCTTGATAAAGTTAGCCTGTCTCAGGCATTTCATTATGGTAAGGAAGCTGACTAACACACCTCCTGTGTGACTAGCCTTCTCACCCTTTAGCACTTACTGAACGTTAGCCCATCAGTTTCCCCTGGTCTGCATGCCATGGTACCCAGAACTTCTCTTCTACCACATGTCCCGCACATTTACGATTACCTAAGGATTCACAGTTCATTTTAAAATGAGTTTTCATTTATGTCTAACAATTTCATCCCTACTAGGTTGAAAGATCCATGATGCTCACCCCATGTCTGCCTCCTCCCCCGTTTCCCCCAGAGCCTAGTAGAGACCCTCCCTAGCACAATAAGCTTTTACTGACTGACCAGTGGACCTCCCTGAGCAAAGGAAAGCTCCCATCTCAGTGCCTACCGTGAGATGTGCTCCTCGGTGTCACTCTGTCCAGCTCTCCCGCCCGCCTCTGAAGCTGGGTTGGCTGCCCCCATTTTACAGAAGAAAAGAAGCTTGAAGAGGTGATGTGACAGGTCCCAGGTCACACCACCAGGAAGTGTGAGGACTGGGATGGAAATCAGGTTCTTTCCTTTCAGGTAGCACAGGAGCCTCCTCCCCCCCCCCAGCCCCCCAAGGCACCCCCAGCTGGACATAGGGCTGATTCCTCCTGGGGTGACCATGGCACCTGAGCGCCCTCTAGTGGTGGCAGGAAAGAGTCCACCAGAAGGAGAAGATAGGGGGAAGGGAAGGGAGGAGGAGGTACCCCAGGGGGCAGGAGGGGAGAAGGGAGAGGAGGTGGGAAGAAAGAGGGGGAGATGGGGAGAGGGCCAAGGAGGCAGGCAGGCAGGGCTGTCCGGGGGCCAGAGTCCTCCCCCACTCCCGGGCTCCCCCGCTAGCTGTGTTGGGTTTCTGCCCTCCAGCTCAGCCTGGGCTCCCAGGGGTCCTCAGAAGGACTCTGTCTGACCCAGAGAATCCTTGAGACAAAGGACACCATCCTCTGCCTCCACACTGGAGCAGTCCCCTTCCTGGGTCAGTCCTGCCAGCTGCCCTGGGCAAAGGCTGTCACCCCAAAGTGGGAAGAAGGAGCTCCTTCCTGCTCCTGCCTGCCACCTCTTCTCCCCATCCGAGAGACACCCCAGGGTCTGCAGATGACCCCCGCAATCACAGGGACACACACACCCAGGTCGTCCCCAGCCCTCACCCACCCCCTCCTGGCCCAGCCACCCCCGGATCCCAGCAGCTGCAGTTGCCATGGTGACGGCACCCCCACCCCACCCCCACCCCCTTGCACATAAATAAACTGCAACCTGGGGAACGGGAGCTGCTGGCAGAGGCCGCGTGCGCAGCGCCAGCTCATTTCCCGCTCCTCTCACTTCAGGATAATTAGTGCAAATTAAATTTCACACCCCTTCTCCCAAGCAGTTAGAGCTCCCCGGGAATGGGTACCCACAACTCACGGGGAGCGTGCTTCACGTCTCTTCCCAGTGTGCAGACGCCAGGGAACGTTCCTCACTGCGCCTCTCCATGACTCCCCAAGACAGTCCCCAAGACAGGCACAGCCCCAGGAGGCGCAGGGGAACCCGGGGCACGCACAGGGCGTATCCGGGTGGGATGGGAACAGAACCCCCAAGATGGGACACTCGACTCCTTCCCTGCTCTGCACCCCGCCACACACACAGGCTTTTCTCGTCTGTGAAACCAGAAAAGTGCACTGAGTCCCCATGGAGAGGTCCTGGAGGCCACGTCCCCACTCACGCCTGCTTCAGGGCCAGCCTCACAGCTGTGTGGCAGGTGTGGTCACGGGGGGCCCAGGCCCACTGTGGCCTGTGCTTGGTTGAAGGCGCTGCCCAATTTTCAAACCAGGGCTCCACCTTCACCTCCTAGTAGAGCCTGAAAACTGTGCAGCTGGGTCTCGGTGGCCTCGTTGATTTATAAACGCTGAGTACCAGGGGCTGGGGCATTCGGCGGTGGAGAGCTCACCTGCACGCCAGGCCTCAGTTCAGTCCGCAGCCCTGAAAGAAGAATGTGTCTGGATAAGGAAATAGACACAGGCCCCCCTGATGCCAATCCTCACAGCACCCGGTGGGGCCCGATGTTGTGCCAAGTCCTTATCCTCACGACACCCAGGGCATGGCCTCATACAGAGCCTCCGTGGCACGAAGGTGCCCGGGCCTGGGATCTCGTTACAAGGCAGGCTCTGGGTCCACGATCCTGAGGGAGGACCTGTGACTCTGCATCTTTATCAAGAGCCCAGAGGACACTGATGTCATTGTCCTGGGACCTCATCCGGGCAGTCAAGGAGGTCCATCCTCCTGCTGCTGCCGAGTTGGCTTCTAATGGCAAACCAGCCACCTTTACGGAGTATGGCCCTCAGGCGACTCATGCTGCCTCACTGACAGATGCTGGGTGACATGTCCCCCTCCAGGTGAGGGGCGGGGGACGCGGCCCGTGACTGGCTGGCAGGGGCTGGCCTCCTACCTCAAGGTGGGACGACACAGGGGACTGTTGACACTCTGCCTGCATCAGGCTGGGACCAGATGCCAGCCAACGGCACAGCTCCTCTGACGCTGTCCTGTTTCCCTCGTTCCTTTTTGAGCATCTCCCACAATAAATCGCTTGCATAAGATCGGCTGCTCGGGCTCAGCTTCCAACAGCCCAGCCCCTGACAGGAAGATGTCCTCGTTTTCCCCATTTCATTCACGCAGGGACTGACCGAGAGGTCAACTTGCTCTGGACAGACAAGCGACAGAGCCAAGCTTCGAACAGATGGTTGGGTCCCACTCCCTCTGCAGGCTGTACCCACCAGGCAAATCCACGTCTCTACTCCCAGACATGGACTCACACGAATGCACCCATTTAGGTGGGAACCGTCTACACTGCACGTTCCTGCATGCAGATCAACACGGCTCTCACACACATGCACACATATAATATCCCTGAGGACGCACGTTACTTCTCGGAATAACCAATTGTCCGCACGTGCTTGGACGCCTTTCTCATAGGGTCTCAGCTCAGACATCATGTCCCTGGAGAATTCCCTGCCTTCCTGAGATGAAGTCCAGAGTCTCCCCCCCCATACTCCTCCTTGTTTACAGACCTGTCTCCCCTGGGCAGGGCACCTGGCCTGATTGGTCGGTGCAGGCCTGACTGACAGTGCTCCCTATGCATTTGTTGAGCCAAATTTAAGCCAGCTCTGCCATTCGCTGGCCCCGGGATCTTGGGTAAGACCCGTCCTTCTCTGAACTTTGGTTTCCTCATTTTCTCACCTCCCAGAGAGATGGCTCAGAGGAAGGCTAGGGCAGGTGGACCCCGTCCCATCTTAGGGGAGGCACTAGGAAAGATTCCTTAAAAGAAAGGCAGGTGCATGGATAGAGCTGGAATCTAAGAGATGAGCGGGATTGAGCCGCTTGAGGAGGGAGACGGGGAGTTCCAGGCAGATGGAACAGCATGTGCAAAGGCTCAGAGGTTAGCGACCGCGGGGCTTGTTCAAGGAGCTGAAAGGGGAAAGCCAGGAGCCTGGAGCGCTATGGAGAATTCCCCAGGAGGAGACCGCTTGGATTTCACCTTGAGGGCAAAGAATTTCTTGTTCATTTTTTGGTGGGGGGTTGTTTTTGGCTTCTGGTACTGGGGGTGGAACCCAGGCACAGGCTGTACCCCTGAGTCAGACCCCCACCTCCCATGGCCATTTTAGCTGGGAGTCTGGTTTGGGTTTTTTAAAGAGCACCCGGACAGCTGGCAGAGAATGGCCAGGGGCTGGGGTGGGGGACGGTGGACATGCTGAGGTCACTTAACAGACGTGAGGGATTCGGGTGTTTGGGGGGTTCGGCCGGGGTCAGCTGAATTGTTGGTGACGACTCAGAGGTAGAAGCCTAGCAGAGGTCTGGATGGGGAGATTGAGGGGGCAGGAAGAAGAGGCTAGTCTCCCCGGCCTCAGATAGACCTTCTTTCACAGATCTCAGATCTCACGTGCACCCCTGCACCCCCTCCCCTCAGGAAGCCCCCCTCTGCCCCTCTGCCCTCCCCACCACAGCCAACCCCTTAGGTGTTCCCAGCCAGCGCTGCTCCTGCCACTGCCTGGTCCCTCGAGGTCCTAGAACCTTGGTCTCTCCGGACCTCATCTCCAGCAGGGATCCTCCAGGCGGAAATCCATCACAGTCCCGGTTCTGATCAGCCCACTCGGGTGCAGCTGGCCCCAGGCACTCGCTGCAGCAGAAACAGCCCTGCCCTGAGAGAGCCAGTCCTCACGCCCCCACTCCCAGGCTGTGTGTTCTTGAGCAAGTTTCTTTCCCCCTCTGGGCTGCAGTTTCTTGATCTGTCATTCAGGAGAATGGGATTCCATTTTGCCTAAGGCTCTTGCCGATCAAAGCACCTAGCCCCCTGGACTGCAGGGACCAGCTCCAGGGTGGACACCTGACCCAAACCGAGCCAGTGAAAGTCCGCCACGGAGCTTCTGTTGAAGCTGTTGTACCAAAGTATCTAGGGAAAGAGGCTACTTGAGAACAAAGCCGATCCTTATCCCTGAGGGCATGGTTCAAGCACCTGGATCCAGCCATGCCTGAAATCAGTTTACATGGACCAATAAATTCCCCTTTTTGCCTAAGCAGTCTGAATTGCGCTTCTGGTGCTCCTATCCAGTGAAGTCCTGACCTATATAAGCCTTTCTACTCAGGGTGCCTTCTCCTGTGGTGTATTTGGGACGCCTCTGCTCTTACCTGATTCTCCCATCCCCTTATCCTTGATTGAAACTGTTGAGGTGCCGCCTTCTCCAGGAAGCCTTCCCTGGCAGCCTGGCATTTCTCCTACTTATTAAAAAGGTCAAACAAGCGTGGGGAGTACTGCATACTAAGTCCTTCTGGAGGGCTCAGTGCACCGAGCCCGTTGAGCAGCCTGAGATGGTAAAGAAACAGGCTCAGACTGGTGTTTTGCCAACTTACTTCGTCTTGGAACCCTTTGTTGTCCCTGGAAATCCTACTACTAACGTCCTACAGGGTGGCGCTTTAGGGTGTCCAAGGACAAACTCGACTTTACCCTTGACTTCTGTTGACGCTTTCTCTGTGCCCTTCAGAGGGCTTTCCAGCTTCCCGAGTGCTTATTAAATGCCTACTGTATGCCAGCCCCAGAACAAGGGGCCGCGAACACATCAATGAGTCAGACGTACCACCCCACCCCCCC